CTCGCCCCGCGAGACCCATGCTCGGCGTCTCACCTACACTGTAAGGTCACACCTGTGTGCTTTAAGCCACTAGGACGATGGTAGTTTCTTAGAGCGGCACCAGGAAACGAATCCACCATCCATCCCAAAATCCACGGTGGGGAGAGGACTGCAAACCTGGGCTGACAAGGACCCTCCCGCCCATCGTCAACCTTGCCCGTTCTGCACTCTACTCACAGGTTCTCACAAGTCTGTCAGCCAGCTAGTCAAACTCCACTGCTTTAAACATTCAGATTTAAAAATGTTAACTGGCTTTAGTGGCCATCTAAGATTGGCCTCACCAGATGGAACATACGGGAAACAGATTGACTACATCTGTGGTAAGAGTGATGGAAAAGCTCAATATCTTCAGGCAAAACCAGGCCAGGAGCTGAGTGCAAAACAGACTATCAGCTGCTCATATGCAAGTTCAAGTTGAAGCTGAAGACAATTAAAACAGGTCCACAAGAGCCAAAATATGACCTAGATTATATCTCTCCTGAATTTAGAGATCATTTGAAGAACAGATTTGACACATTGAACACTAATGACCGAAAACCAGAGGAATTGTGGGATGACATCAAGGACATTATCCATGAAGAAAGCAAATGGTTATTAAAAAGACAGGAAAGGACGAAAAGACCAAAATGGATGTCAGAAGAGACTCTGAAACTTGCTCTTGAATGGAGAGTAGCTAAAACAAATGGAAGAAATGACAAGATAAAAGAGCTGAACAGAAGATTTCAAAGAGCAGCTCGAGAAGACAAAGTATTACAATGAAATGTGCAAAGACCTGGAGTTAGAAAACCAAAAGGGAAGGACACGCTCGGCCATTTCTCAAGCTGAAAGAACTGAGGAAATAATTGAAGAATGAGTTGCAATATTGAAAGGTTCTATGGGCACAATATTGAATGCAAGAAGCATCTGATGGAAGGAATACACAGAGTCAGTGGATCAAAAAGAATTGGTCGACACTCAACCACTTCAGGGGATGCATATGATCAGGGACAGACAGTATCGAAGGAAGAAGGCCAAGGTGCATGGAAGGAACAAGGCTCCAGAAACTGACGGAACAGCCATTGAGATGTTTCAACAAATGGAGGCAGCACTGGAGACGCTTACTCATCTATGCCAAGAATCTGAAGACGCTACCCGGCCAACCAACTGGAAGGGTGATCCCACAGAACATGGAAATCATTGAACAATATCATTAATGTCATATGTAAGTCAAATTTTGCTGAAGATAATAAAAAATGGTTGTAACAGTACATTAAAAGGGAACTCTCAGAAATGCCAGCTGGATTCTGAAGAGGACATGGAATGAGGGATATCACTGCTGTCAGGTGTATCTCGGCTGAAAGCAAAGAATACCAGAAAGAAGTTTATCTGTGTTTTATTGACTATGCAAACACATTGGACTGTGTGGATCATAATAAATTATGGATAACACGGAGGAGAATGGGAATTCAGGAACACTTAATTGTGCTCATGAGAAACCTGTGCATAAACCAGGAGGCCGTTGTTCGAACAGAACAAGGGGACACTGCATGGTTTAAAATCAGGAAGGAAGTGTGTCAGGGTTGTATCCTTTCACCATACTTATTCAATCTGTGTGCGACACAGGTAATCCGAGAAGCTGGACTATATGAAGAAGAACATGGCATCAAGATTAGAGGAAGACTCATTAGCAATCTGTGATACGCTGAGGACACAACTATGCTTGCTGAAAGTGAAGATGACTTGAAGCATTTACTGATGAAGATCAAAGACTACGGTCTTCAGTATGGATTACACCTCAACATATAGAAAACAAAATTCCTCACAACTGGACCAGTGAGCAACATCGTGGTAAATGGAGAAAAGGTTGAAGACTGTCAGCGATCTCATTCTACTTGCATCCACAGTCCACACTCATGGAAGCAGCCATCGTGAAATCAGATGTCATACTGCACTGGGTAAATCTGCTGCAAAAGACCTCTTTAAAGTGTGAAGGAGCAAAGACCAAGGTGCGCCTGGTCCAAGCCATGGTTGTTTTCAGTCGCCTCGCATGCATGTGAGCGCTGGACAAGGAATAAGGAAGACGGAAGAAGAGTTGATGCCTTTGAGCTGTGGTGTTGGCCAAGAATACTAAAGTACCACGGCCTGCCAGAACAAACAAATCTGTCCTAGAAGAAGTGCAGCTGGAAGGCTCTTTGGAAGTGAGAATGGCCAGACTTCATCTCACCTACTTTGGTCATGTTGTCAGAAGGGACCATTCCCTGGAGAAGGATGTCATGCTAAAGTAGAGAGTCAATGGAAAAGAAAGCCTAGTTGGGCAGCTCCATTTAGCGAGGGTAAACTGGAGCTCAGAGCCGACAACCAGAAAACATGGCCCCAAGGTCACTTAACCTCTCTGAGCCCATCCAGAATGGGGTGTGGCCCACTTCCAGGAGAGAATGAGGAAGGCAGCTCACCCTGGACATGCGGGGTAAGTCTCACTGATGGGGGGCCCCCACAGATAGTGAAAGAGATGGCCATGTGCCTTCCAGGGGCACTGGGCTGGCATGTGCTGCCCTGGAGGTCCTACACCCATACCCACTCCCTTCCGGAGGGGAAATGGGCTCTCATTTATCCTTGCTGACCCATTTCAGACACAGAGCCCACCGACACAGAAAAGAACTGGCCTCTCTGGGCTGGAAGCATCCCACGGGGCTGGTTCTGAACTGAGGCCCAGTGTGCACTGACTAGCATGGGGCAGAGAGGGCATGTTCACCTCCCTCATTCTTGACACCTAGCCTCTGTTAATACAGCCTCGGAGCAGCCACGCTCGGTGGAGGATACTCATTCCAATGACATCCTTCAGTTGTCACGTGGGCTGCTCTCAGAGGTTGCATGCTAAGATGATGATGGTGGTGCTCACCTGTGCTCTAGGTGGGGGCCCAGGGTCCACCTCCACCAGGGCCTTAGAGGGCGGTTACCTAGCCTGGGGTGCAGGGCCTGGCCCCCCGTGGCAGGTATGGTGGTGGGAGCCCAGAGGAGGGAGCGGCTCTGCTGTTTCCGGGCAGGATAGGCTCTAAGGAGGGTGTCTGATGACCAGAGAGGGAAGACCACTTGCTATGCAGCTCCTTGGTTCTGCCCGATGCTTGGCTCAGAGTCCCCCATCTCTCCCCTAGCTCTACCTCCCAGACCCACCTTGCTCTCAGGCCTGCTTCCTTCCATCCCTGGCCCCATTCCAGGTTCCGGCTCTGGGCAGTGACTGACTCTAAGCTTAAAGAGCGTGGACAGAGGCCCTGCTCTCCACCTGCCACCCCCACCTGCTGGACGCCAGCTCAGCCCAGCTTCTTCTGCCTACAATCCTCCTGGGAAGGGTGTGGGACCTGAGGGGCCCACCCTCCCCAGTGCATGAGGTCCGGGAGGCCCGGACCTCCAGGACTGACTGTGGCCTTGGGCACCACCCTGATGCTCCCATCACATACCTCGAGCCACCACTGCAGAGGCCTGGCTTATCCCTTCCTGGAGGGCCCACCCCTTCCGCTATTTCTAGCCCTTTCCGGGAAACTCAGATGCCCAACTCAAAAGGACAGCTCTGTCCAGAAGACACGTGGAGAGCCGGCACCCGGCCTGAGTGTGCCCTCTGACCTCTGGTCTCCAGGGTCCTCACCTGGACGGCAGGTGGTGTCTGTCAGACTGGCGTCAGCCCGATCCTGGTGGTAGGTGGGCGGCACCCTCCCTGGGATGTCCATTAGGACCATGAAGCCTGGTGAGCTCTCAGGGACCTCCACTCTGATCTCTATGGTATCATGACCCCCAACATTGGCCCCCACGGCCATGACCTCTGAGCTGAGCTATGCAGGGTTATGTGTGGACTTGGGAAAACGAGTGCATCCCACTGCACCCCAGTTTCCTCCTCTGAGGATGAGGAACGCGCCACCCAACCCCACAGCCACCAGAGCTGCTGTGAACACTCAGAGTGACACAAAAGAGGTATGACAACCCGGCTGGACGAGAGCAGTGCTCAGGGGGCCCTGGGGACCGGGTACCACGCGGAGGTCCCCACTGGGCTGCTGAGGGAGGGAAGAGGTGTGGATGAAAGTGGGGGCACAATGGCCTCTCGAGCTCTGTGTCCCAGCTCGCTCACTGCCTCTCCTCCCTTCCTCCTCACTGCACCCCAAGTCAGCCCTGGCAGCAGGCCCCCCCAGACATCTGAGCAGCACTGGGTCCTTCTGAGCAAGCCTCTCTGGCATGTGGACCCAGCCCTGGAAGGCAGTGCCCAGAGTGCAAGCTCACACAGACCCCATGGCCAGCCTGACTCCCACACGAGGGTGGCTGCCTCAGGGGGTCACTGAAGGCCCCCGTGGAAGAGTGGGCTAGGGCAGGCCATTCAGGGTCAGGGAGCCTCAGAACCAGAAGGGGCTTTCCCTGACCCCCGCTGAGCAGGTCTTGTGTTCTGCACCTGGCCCAGCCCTCCCCCTGCTCTCAGTCCTGCTAACTAGTAAGGAGTAGATGGACGGACATCCTGGGCCCCCTGCCACAAAGTGTCTAGGTGGGTTCTTCTCCCTGAGAACTAGAGGTGTCGGGGGGTGACTTCTCTCCAGAAGAGACCCGTCAGGCCTGTGCTGCCCAGCCCCCCTGCTCGACACCCATTCCCAGGTCTGCTTCACTGACTGCAAACAGGGAGCACCCGCTGTACCCGCGGGAGGTTGACCAGCCGGGCCGTTAAACCTCGGCTCTGGGGGCTCTGCCACACATGAACACACACATGTACACACGAAGAAAACGTGTTCGATGGGGGTAAAAACTTTACAAAGGAAAAAGCCAGATCACGTCTGCCGTGGGGCCCCCCACACTCATACAACACATGTGACCACACACACACGTGGGCAGACCACACACATACACTCACACACCCCACGTGCCCATCCACGCCCCACACACGCACACATGCGTGCGCACACATGAACAAAAGTGCAAGAACAACAAAGGAAGTGGAAGAAAAGTGTTACCCATGAGCAGCCGCCGTTTCACCCGCTTGTCCACATCAGCTACTGACGTGGTATTGAACTGAGAGCGCTCAATTGCAGCCTCATCCTTCTCTAAAACACAAGTAAGGGACAAACACGGAGCCGGTGGTTAATGAGAGCCCACTTCCCGCGGCCCAAGACAGTCAGCCTCTTGGCGGGGCGCAGGCAAAGCCAACACAGCATGCCGGGCCAGCGGGGCCTCGCCAAGGGGCTACTCCCCGGAGACTCCAGGGACGGGGTGCTCCGGGCAGGACGGGGAGGGAGGGCAGGCAGGCAGGGGGGAGGGCCACGAGATGAGCCAGGACACAGATGGGACACAGGCCGAGCTGCACACAGAGGCGGCGGCCGAGGTCACAGGGGCCAGGGCCGGCGCCGCGGAGGCTCGGGGAAGCACACGGCACCAGCGCGGCGCTGACGGAGGGAGACACAGGGCCACAGGCACCCAGGGTGCGGTGCGGGCTGGTGAGGCAGGCACAAGGCACAGGACAGGGAGACAGGCCGCAAGGTACGGTGATGGGTGCGCGGGGGGCCGCAGACGCCGTCACGAGGACGCTGTCAAACACTCATGCAAAATTAAGAACACAGCACACGGAGCAACAAACATACGACGGGCATGCAGTCCAGCAGACACAGGGGCGGGGGGCAGCCTTGGGCAGCGCTGGTTGCCTGCTTGTCTCTAGAGCACCACTCCACACGTTCAAGTGCTTGGTGAGGGCCGGTGGGAGGGAGCAGGAGGGAGACGTCCGGAGGTGGGCAGGGAGCATCTCCATCTGGCCGCTCGGGCGAGAAGCCACACCGAGACGTGCCCTTCGGAGCAGGGGGCTGCTTAGCTGGCTTGAGGCCTTTGCTCAGTCAGACGTGTGTAGGGACACTGGAGCCCCAGGGGGAAACCGATTGCCAGTGAGCAAAGCCAGAGGACAGGCTCCTGATCCGGGCCAGGACCGGGAGCAGCGGCAGCTGGGCACGGGAAACGGGGTCTGAGGGGAGGGAGGGCCTGAGGGGGCTCGAGACGTTACATAGGAAAGTAGATCCAAGCAGGGACGGTCACGTGCAGCAGACATTAAAAAAATCAAACGGAAATCAAAAAGGATGAGGCAGGTGGACGAAGACAAGATGCGTTAGACAGAGGGCACGCGTGCGTCTGGCCCACAGCTGTTTGCGCCCGTCCGTGGGGGCAGAGCGTGCCCCACTGGTGACAGCAGCAAAAGCTAAGGGTGACAGCACGGGGACGAGGACAGGGAGGAGGAGGCTGGAGAGGCCGGGGGGCCTCTGGGCAGGACAGCGGAGGGAGAGAGGTGCGAGAAGCAGGTTCTAGATGGGATCAGGCTGCAATAGAGACACTGGTCTGAGACCGGGTGTGGCTTTTAATTTTGTTGACTGACTGGTCAGTTTGGTTTGGCTTTTGGCTCTGGAAATAACTAGTGAAGTCAGGGATCAGACAAGACAGGCAATCAGGGATCATCACCAGAGAAGCAGGAAGAATGAGGTAAAATGAAATAATAATAAAAAAAAAACAACCCAGCTGTCTGAGAGAACAGACCACATGGAGGAAAACTAGTGCAGGTAGCAGCACCCTGGGGCCCGGACGCAGGGCACACCCCCAGCCCGGGGTCCACTCCCGCCACACAGGGACAGAAGGGAGCTGCCAACACTGGCGGGACCAACCCCTTTCCTGTTACGTGAAAGCACCTCAAGAAAGATGGCCCAGTCTACAGGAAGAGGGCTTGTTTTTTTCATGAACATGATAATCGACTGGTTTTGAGTTTCTGAAGTTTGCCAACCGTGATGAGAGTGAACTCTGGCACCAGTCCGGAAACTTCTCTTTTTCTTAACACCAGTTAACACAAATGACTGGCATTTTTGAGCGTGGGTGTGGGGAAAACCCACTAGAGACTGTGGTGTGGAGGACTCCTGCGTAGTCACACTTCACGTGTAGATACGCATCAGGAGAAAGGAGGCGCCGAGGCCAAGCTCAGGGCTCCATGTAACAGGAGAGTGAAGGGTTGGGGTAGCCCTGGGAAAACGGTCTTCAGGTGTGAGAGAATGGTCTGGCCCAGAGCTCCCATGACCTGGGGTTCAAAGCCCTTAAAA